AGGATCCCTTCCAACTCAAACGATTATGCGATGATGACAAGCAGGTATTTGTGAGAAGCACAGGAGCAATCTGAATGTGATGGGGAGCAGGAATTCTCCATTCCCAAGTGATTGAACTCTGGATAGCATGGTAGGGCCGTTCCAGGAAAATAATCATTTAACAGCCCTTGGCTAGGAAACTGGAATAGGAGATAAGGATTACCAGAAGGCTCTCCTCCCCAATCTCCCTTTTTGTTTTCTTCCCTTCTGAGGACAGCTTCAGTAATCTGTTTGCTCTCCATCCAATTGAATAATTGTTCTCATTGATACCACTAGAACAAGAAGTGGTTACAGGATTTATCCTCAGTAAATCTTAGATGGTGTTCATTTGCATAAAAGAGCAGGAATAATTGTTTTTACTCTTTCATTCCTTTCAGATGCTTATCAGGTTACTTGCCCTTCTGGGCTCTATCAAGTATTGTTTTTCAAGAGGATGTGTTATTAGCAGAAAATCTTCTGGCAATTGCACCTTACTATGGGATCTTCAATAGCTGATAGCTAAAATAATGCTGTAATACAGGCTTAAATTAAGTTCTGACTACATCATCATTTCATCATAGAATCATCATCGTGGAATGGCCTGGGTTGAAAAGGACTACAATGACCATCTGATTTCAACCCCTCTGCTATGTGCAGGGTCGCCAACCACCAGACCAGGCTGCCCAGAGCCACATCCAGCCTGGCTTTGAATGCCTCCAGGGATGGGGCATCCATATTTCTTCAGTTTCCCTGCAGTGCTTCTATTATGGTTTGTTGAATTTGAGGGGATAACTGATAAGGTTGTTTCCTTGTGTATCATCTAATGCAACAGTGCTGTAATTTGACTGATGAACTTAGTTCGTGTACTCCAAAACATGCTTAATAAGCAGCAAAGACAGATGTATAGAAGCCTCAACCCCCCATAGTATCAAGGGACTATTAGCTGCAGCTTAGAGTTTCTCTTATCTCTTACAAAACACTGCAGGCTCTCTTTCTATCTTTCTCCAGCCGTTCCTAACAGAAAACCAGTTCAGAAGTCAAATTTGTTTAAAAACACATACTGTAAGAAAACTTGAAGATGGCCTGAAGTTGAAGACTGCGTGCAAAGACATTCTGACATACATACATATGGCTGAGAGAACTGAGATTGTAGAACCTTCAGGACAGCTAAGGAAATCTGCAAGTTCCTAAGGGCAAGATCTGTAGGAGGTAGATGTGGAGTTAGAGAAGGTGCACAAGGGACAGGGTAAGAGACAGAAGCTGCAGCACAGGAAACTAGCTAATAATATCACAAATGTGTTTTACCATGAGAGCAGTCAACTATTGGAACGAGTTGCAGGAGTTGCTTTGGAAACTCCTGTGAAGAGGAGAGTGGCCGTGTCTGGTCTCTTGCAGCTTACTCTGTGTTCTTACCATATCCAGCACTTCCTACACAGTTGCCTCTTGCAGCACACACATCCCTTCTTTTGCTGATCTTGGTTCTTAACCTGATCTTGTTGCTGTTTCCTGCAGGCTTGAGGGCAAAACAGCTGTTCAGTAGCTGAGCTCAGGTTCATAACCCCTCCCCCCCAATTTGGTTTTTGAATCGATAGTAGTGATATCTCCTTCTTATGGAAGGGATGGAATCAGCGAGTTAACTGGAAACAGCAAAATGTAGTTCAAAAAGCAAACTTCAAGGTGGTCTTTGTACTGTCTGCAAGGCTGGGATTGGCAGGCCAGGCACATTAAGTGCTGCAGGGGGACTCACTTTGATACTGTGTTAAAATTCTGTATGCCAGCATGAAATTTGGACATCTTTCATTAAATGGCAGTCAAGTAATTAGTGTGTCTGATATACTTATGGAAAAAAAAGTGTTATTTATTGTACGTCTTGCAGCGTTACTCTGTCTTCAGGTTAAGTTCTATTGCCTGGTGCTTGCTTCACTTCCTGCATCTCTTGTTTGATGTGAATAAAAATGCACTACTGAGCACAAAAAAGTAGTGAAGCTCTTAAACATCTCCTTGTCACGTGGCAGCTTCTGGCAGTGGCAGCTGTATTGTAGATCAACACAGCAATATCTGAAAACACCCACATGGATGATCCGGAGTAACCGCCCTGATGTCTGATAATGAAACCTCAACTGAAAGCTGGGCTTCCGAATAAGGCTTCCTTCCTTCACATCAGTTTCACTTACAGGCCGTATAGTTTGAGAGGCTTCCTATGACAGGTGTAGGCTGCGTTAGCCCAGTGCTAAAATGTTCTTTGATCTGTGAAAACATCACCAGATAATTAAATGTGTTAGGACTTGCTGTGGAAGAAAACGTATTGATATAATTACAGTAGTAGAATTATGCTTGGATGATCTCCTGTGTCGACAAGCCCTTTTGGGTGCAACCAGCTTGGCCCCTTCTTATTTAGTAACTCATTAGGCCTCCAACTGTGTGTTAGTGGCATAATTCCACACTAAAAATCCTCTGTATGTGCCTTCAGTGCTGAGCGGCACTTCAGAGAGCTGAACAACCTTAAGCTTTACAACACTATGAAGAATAAAGGACGGTGCTGAAGGCCTCCATATAGGTGATAAATTAAATGGCCCTGATAATTCAGTTCCACGATTGGTTGGATTTTTGGAAGGGGGAGAGGAGTGCAATCAGAAGTGTGGCTCGTTCATTCCTTCTACACGCTGGGAGTGCCTTGGCCCTGTGGCCCCTTGAGTCACTCCTATCTGCAGTTTGGATCTGCAGTATTTTGATGGAGTGGAAGTCTGCATGCAGCCAGCTTTGAATTTGCAGCATTGTTGCAAAACTCTGCACTAAACTAATATCTCTGTGCAGTTCCACGTTTGAGCACAGCTCCTCTGCCACCTCCTTTTTCCTGCTCCTCTCTTAACAGAGTGATACTGCCTGGGGTTTATGGTTCTTCAAGAAAACTGCCGAGAGGCAGTTACTTTTCTAATACCTGGGTTTTCCCCAATTTCCACTTCTTTGGTAGAAGTCTCAGTTCTTAAGAGTGGTAACTTTGAACACTTGGTCTATTGTAAATTGAATGAATTCTGGTAGGAAGTCTGCTAGTTCTCAGTTCCAGAGAAGCCTGAAGACGTTATACTGGCACCTCATTACTGAATATCCAGTGTACCTTACTTCAAACCACACAAACAGCTCTGTGTTTTCTTGATGGTCTCAGTCATCAAGGCTGAAACATTTTTATTATTCGCGTTGTCATGTAGCAAATGAGCAAGGAGTTTCTGATGCATATCAGATGTTTCGGTGTACTCGTCTTTCATATACTCATCTTTAAATAAGAAATCTAATTCATTCTCCCCTTGACAGCACTTTAAGTGTAAAATCCAGTGCATGTAGACTTTCAGAATACTGTCTGAAGGCACTGTGTGTGTTTTCAAAGGAGTCTCTGAAAACCAGGAATGGAGTAAAAAAAAACTACAAGAGTGAATTTGGAAGACCACCAGGGGCAGCCCTTTGGGCTCTGGTGGGTGAGTTGTGGCAGGTTGCCACGGATGGGGTGTATCTGTATCCTCTGCAACACCCCGTATAGAAGCATTCCCATACAGAATGAGTAAGGCTGGTAAGGACCGCTAAGGTCATGCTGTAGTCCAACCATTGACCCATCACCACCGTGCCCAGCAGGCCATGTTCCTCAATGCCACATCTAAGGTGCACATAGGTACAGCCATCAGTCCTGTTGCTAATGCATGTGTATCTGCTTCATGCCACAGAAATACAGGCTGACTGCTTATCAGGTCAGTGCTGCTGTTTAATAAACAGTGCTTATCTCCTCCAAGCACCACCCTGCCCTATATAAGTCTGCTCAGTGTGTTAAGCCAGAAATAACTTTAATGGCAGCACTTAAAACAGATGAAGTTTAAAAGTGAAAGTTGCTGATGTTGCTGGTCGTTATTTCTGAAGTGCCTGATTCTGTTCTCTGCTGTGCATGTGAACTGTTTCATATCTTTCCCCAGGAATTTGCATTTTTCATGTTATCTCCATAATTTGCCTTTTTACCATTTGTCATTAAGCTCTGGTGGAACTTACCAAGCTCCAGTGTTCTTCCTTGAATATTTGTAAGCAGAGCTTCATTATATCCCTGTGAGAAGTAATGAGCAATCCCAGTTTAAGGAGTAGACTGATGTCAGTCTCTCCAGCACAGCAAGAGAAAGGGCAGAGAAATCAGGCTGTGGTGGTGAGTACAGCAGTGTTAGAGAGCATAATGGCATGGGGAAGGGAAATGCTTAATGTGGGTGCATAGTGGTTGAACAGGTAACAGTGGTGAGGCAGATGATAATGCCACCAAGATATAAGCGTGGATAAAAAGGAACAAATAGTCCAAGTGCCAGGAGCAGAAAATAGAAGCTGTGGGAATGCTAGGACAGCATCACCATCACCACAGAAGCACAGATCTTCTGGAACAAGAATTTAGAATGGATCTTTCAGGTTACTGTTGGAGAGTCACAGGTTTTAGTGGCAGTATTTATTGAACTGCAGTAATGTGGTGTTAAAGGAGTGTATGCATTTTGAGGATAAGACCTGACCCAAACATAAATGAAATGAGGAAAAAGCCCAAGAACTGTTTTATTAATAAAAATAATAACATAGAACAATTAAAAAAAAGTAAAACAGTAATATTCTCAATGCCAATCCACAGTTCTCATCAGTATGTGTTTTGAAACTGAGATTCTTCATAAATGGTGCTCTAGTTCTTGCTTTGCTCTTGATTTTCCACCAGTGTCTGCTTAGTGCCTGCTTAGCATCTCAAAATCCTGCCCAGCTGTCTCATTGTATGGGAAAATGTAACTAATTTTAAGATTCTAATCAATGGTGAGGACTAGGAGAGCTTTGGAAGAAGAGAGAAAATGAATGGACTCCTGATAGCAGGTTTTCTTTGTTACCAGTTTGAAGATCCCCTCTTTTGTTGGATAAAGTCTGTGAATTTGTTCAATTCAGGTGAATGTAGCTGGTGTGGCTAATTGTGCTTTCCCTCTTTTCAGTGCTTGCACCTCCTCCACCGTTGCCACCACCAGTACAGGGATATGCCTTCAAACCTCCTCCTCGCCCAGATTTTGGGACTTCTGGGAGAACAATCAAACTGCAGGCCAACTTCTTTGAAATGGACATTCCTAAAATAGATATCTACCATTATGAGTTGGATATAAAGCCAGAAAAATGTCCAAGAAGAGTTAACAGGTAAACCAGTGCTTTACTTTTTTCCTGAGTTTGCTTACATTTGGGTTTTCATTTGAAAATTGTGGAGCCACGTGCCTGTTTTCATGGATGGCTCAGAAGATGTGTCTGTTTATTCATTGTTTGTACTGATAGCTTCCAACTTTCCATATCCAACCACAAGCAGTGTTCCTCAGACTTTTTAATCATAGGATGGCTTGGGTTGGTGGGAGCCTCAACTATTATCAAGCTCCAACCCCGTTGCTGCATGCAGGGCTGCCAACCTCCCCGTTAAATACCAGACCTGACTGCCCAGGGCCCCATCCAACCTGGCCCTGAACACCTCCAGGGAATGAGGCATCCACAATCTCTGGGCAGCCTGTTCCAGCACCTTAGCACTCTTGTAGTAAAGAACTTTCCCCTAATACCCAACCTAAATCTTCCCTCCCTCAACTTAAAACCAATTCCCCTTGTCCTTGTATTATCTACCCTTTGAAAGAGTTGGCTCCCCTCCTTGTAGGCTCCCTTTACATACTGGAAGGCTGCATTGAGGTCACCCTACACTCTTTCTCCAACAATGTTGGTCCCAGCCCAAAGATTCAGTGCTGGTGGTCCCTTATTTTGACTGAACTTGTCAACTTCTGATTAAAGCCACTGTATTAACTCTGGAGAGGTTAGATCAGTGTAAACCAACTTGGTAAGTAATATTCTTGGTATTGCTTGTTTAAATATCGGAGTGTAATTGGCTGGCAAGCCCTTCAGCAGGGAACTGGTGTTGCCAGCTTGTTTTCCTGCCTTCACCTACTTAAAAGGGGAGGTAAAACCCATTTGTGCTGCTGGGAGAGGATTGTGGAAGGACTGAATTAGGTAAGAAATTATCCTTCATCAGTAGATTCTATAAAAGGGAAAGTTATGCTCCAGATAGGGAGATGAAAGCATGGATCAGCTGGCAAAGGAAATAAGCAATTAGGTCCTGTATTTTGCATGTGTGCCCTATTAGTCACAGTGTGGCAACCTCATTAACTTGAAAAAGAGCGGTGTTGCCAGAAGTGAAACTGAGAGCAAGACTTGGCACTAACTCGAAACCACAAGTGTCATCATTGTAACTACCTACACATCTTGACTGTGGAGTATTGTAATGGTGTGTTTATATATTCAACAGCAAAAACTTTCCATATTAAAAGAGGTCAGATGTGTGGATTATGCAGTAATGAGCAAAAGTGTAGAGTCCAAAAAGTCACCTGAAAGCCACGGTTTTCTTGATGTCAGTTAACGAGCTGGAGTGCATTATCAACTGTTACACCAACAAGTCTGCTAGTAATGGTATTTCCATAAAGCAGTATTACTATACTGTGCTACTCTGTTTTTTTTTTCATTTCTAAGGCTATTTAAAACCTTTAAACCAGTTCAGAATTGGGTTTAGTGTTAAAAGCAGATGTTGTATGCGCATCAAGCTGAATTCTCTTCCTGCCTGAAGCAGCCCTGTTGATTTCACCAATGCATTCTCAGTGCACTGTAGTGCTAAAAAAAATAAAAAAGTAATAATAGCAGTTCACATTTTCATGGTGGAAGCCACGAGAGCTTTGCTTTCACGATCACTGATTATCCTGGCTTCCTGCTCCAGTGCTGACAGCATGCATGCTGCTGTATGATGCAGATTTCTATGCTCCTTTGCCCCTCTGGATGGTGCAGTGCTGTGCAGCTGGTACGTGTTTGTGGTGTGTGCTGCTGTTCTCAGTGATCTCCTCTCTGTAGTCCGGTGTGCTTCCTTCTCTCATCCCTACCTTTAGTGATAGGGAATCGGTTTCTGAGGAATTGTAGAGAATGTAATTATAAAGTAATTGTAAAGCAATTTTCCTGGCTGATAAAGCAGGTTATACTCTGTAATGAGTTGTTGCCCCACTGACAGCTTCAGACCTGATCTCCTTTGTTAGGTTAGCTGTTCTTGTGTTGTGGTATCAGAGCAGATATAAATCTGCATGGTTCAGTGCCTTTTGCAGTAAGCAGGGGTGTAATGAATGCATTCAACAGTGCACATTTCTCTGTACAGTGTGGGAAGAATACAAATTGGATTCATTTAATGAAGTTTATGTTTCATTTCTTCTTTGAGCACTTGCTGGTGCTTTTGCTATCCTTTAGGTGTACATGCCCTTGTGAGTGCCTGGCGTTTTGTTGGCCTTTTAGTCCTGCATGTATACTTGTGTCTGTGCACATATTTATGTATGCATATGTAGGATTTTGTAGGATGCATATACAGTCCAGGGCTAAAATTCATTTGTTCATCTAGGTTAGAGTTTCCAGTGTTTTGGTTATATAACTCAGCTACATACCTACAATCAGTAGCTTTTATCATTATTTTGTGTTTTAACATCTGGAAAAGGCTGAGTTTTTAATTCCATTTACACTATTCCCTCATCTGTGCTGGCTTCATTCTTCATTCTTCAAAGACATTGAGATTTTGGAAAGGGTCCAGAGGAGGGCGACTAAGATGATCAGGGGGCTGGAGCACCTCCCCTATGAGGACAGGCTGAGGGAGTTGGGCTTGTTCAGCCTGGAGAAGAGAAGGCTGCGGGGTGACCTCATTGCAGCCTATCAGTACCTGAAGGCAACCTACACCCAGGAGGGGAGTAAACTCTTCAGAAGGGCTGACAACAGCAGGACTAGGGGAAATGGATCCAAGTTGAAGGAGGGAAGATTTAGGTTGGATGTTAGGGGGAAGTTCTTTACAAGGAGAGTAGTTAGGCCCTGGAACGGGCTGCCCAGGGAGGTTGTGGATGCCCCGTCCTTGGACGTGTTCAAGGCCAGGTTGGACGGGGTCCTGGGCAACCTGATCTGAATGTGTACGTTTGGTGGCCCTGCTAGGCAGGGGGGTTGGAACTACATGATCCTTGAGGTCCCTTCCAACCCGCGGGATTCTGTGATTCTGTGATTCATTTTTATTTTTGGACTAGCTATGGCTTGGACTGTACAGTTGGATACACCATAAACAAGAGCTGGAGCAGGACTGGAAGACACATAGCTGAGACAGTGGGCTGCTGTGCCAAAACTGTACTGTTAGGGTCAGTTTTTCTCATGTTGCAGGAGGTCCAGATCTGTTTTGGTAGATGTTGAGAATGGGCAGTGTGGGGTTGGTTTTGTGCTGTCAGTGTCCTTGGTTTAATTTGTGAGGGTTGCTGGGACTTGTACATGGCTCAAAATGAGCTCCACCTGGAATCATCATCATAGAATCACAGAATGGCCTTGATTGAAAAGGACCACAGTGATCATCCAGTTTCAACCCCCCTGCTACGTGCAGGGTTGCCACCCACCAGACCAGGTTGCCCAGGCCTCAAATGCCTTCAGGGATGGGACATCCACAGCCTGCTTGGACAACCTGTTCCAGTGCATCACCACCATCTAAGTGACCTGGGGTCACTTGTGTTCTTGCATGCACGTGTTGTCTCTGTGCAGTAGTCCACAAGGGCTGGAGTTGGAATGCCAGTAAATCACTCTTCTTTTAACTTCAAATGGAGAACTTTTCATTGAAATGCCTCAAACCACAGCTGAGAAACACCATCACTGAACAGAGTTCCAAGTGTGGAAACGCTAATTAAATGGGAGCTTTCATTCTCGCGCAGAGCAATTTGCAATCAAATCTTGCTCAGTAAGAGAATGGATTTTCCATTGCTTGAAACAAGGGTAAAAAATATCTCCCTTCTATCCTTGAAGGTGGGACTTGTTCAGTCAGGCGCTGCAGACCAGAGGCAGAAGCTGCTACCTCAAGTTTCATTCATATTTCTCAGAAGTTCAGATGGGATCATTAAAAGCAAGCTATCTAATCTTAAAGCTTTGGGACACAGCAAATAAATTGTCAGCTCAAACAGCCTTCAATCACTACAGTGCTTGAGTGAGCTTGAAGTTTGTTCTCAGAGTTTTATGTTGCTATAGCATCTAATTCAGCTGATTACCTTTCTAAATCATGGTAAGTAAAATAGTCATCTGCAGCCTCACTGAGCTAGTTGGCAGTGGTACAGAAGAAACAGCATCCTGTAGCTTTCCTTCCTGTGTCAGCTCTGCTTCTTTGGGCTGTTTTGCCCCCAAGCCATATATATGTTAACTATGTTCTAGGCAGCATACTGCAAACCACTGCTGGATTTGAGATTTCCAGCTGTATGAGGCATGTAGCCTGAAGGATGTCTGGTTAGGACATTTGGACTTAAAGGCCTTTGGCATCAAAGGGTGCTGTTACTTCAGCAAGCCACTTACCTGGCTGGTAGACTGGTTTGTATGACCAGTGTGTAAGCACTGTGGTTAGACAAGTGCTTTGGGACTGGTTACATCAGTCATACAAACAGCACGCATTTCCAGCTGTGCTTTAATGGATGATATGCATTTCTAATACGTTTGGATCTCTGTGAATGCTAGTTTTGTTGCTTTTGTGGAAAAAATTGCACTTAAGTAATCTGTCTTAGAGCTACACAGAAATTTTATGTATCACTGTCATCACAGGAATGTTGTGCTAGGGGAAGGCTGAGGCTGAAAGCTTGGGTAGTTGTATTTTGGAAAGCTGCTCAGTCTGCTGAGCTTTGGCTCCATACAGAAAGTACTGTAGGGTAGGTGAGCAGGAGACCCAGACAATACCACGTGCCTTCTGTTTTGACCATGAGATGGCACAATCTTTTGGTTTGCCACGTGTGTTAAATCACAGCAGACAGGAAGGCATCTGAAAATGCTAACAGCCACGTTCAGAACGTGGTTTAGTCTGTGAAAAGATTGCTCTAATTCAGACCAAACAGATGTCAGCTTTAATGCCTGGCAGGAGACAACCTTTTAATTTTCCTAATGCTTCTACTCATGAATATTAGTATTCCTTTGCTATGTAACATGAAAAGTAAAAAAGTTGAATTAATGCACTCTTTTTTGTATTTTTCAGAGAAATAGTGGAGCATATGGTTCAGCACTTTAAAACACAGATTTTTGGGGATCGCAAGCCAGTGTTTGATGGAAGAAAAAACCTTTATACAGCTATGCCACTTCCCATTGGAAGAGATAAAGTAAGTTTCAAAGAGAAAACTTCAGAAGAGTTTCTGATTGGAGATCCCAGTGTCATATTTGCACTTTCTAATAACTGATAGAAATTGGTTGGTACGTTCTTATTTATTTATTTATCTATTTTTACGTGTAAATATGCGGCTGCCTTTAGATTCCACTTTTCTTAGGGTCTCGTGATCTTGCTGCCATCACAAAGGTCTGGACAGGGCTCTGGGCAGCCTGGTTTGGTATTAAATGGGGAGGTTGGTGGCCCTGCATGTGGCAGCGGAGTTGGAGATTCATGATCCTTGAGGTCCCTTCTAACCTGGGCCATTCTGTGATTTCATCTGTGTATCTGGCTCTCACTTAGGCTTGCTTCTAATAGACTTTCAGATTCTTTCCTTTTTCCCATCCAATACAGAAATACAGAACTTTAATATCTGTATGCCAAGGCAACCGAAGTTGTTACCCTGGAGTAAAAAACTAATATAGAAAAACCTCAACTGGTTTAAATCAAGTGTGGGGAAATTTAGCTGAATGAAGGAATTTCTTTTTACATGGAGCTTAATTGGTTTAAGCATGGTTTAAACCATTATAAAGCTTGTAGGTATTAACACTTTCCTCCAGAGTAATTAGATTAGGTTTCTTGGGGGTTTTTTGGCTGCTCTGTACATAACAAATATAGCAATTTTGCTGCACTTGGGATCATATTGAAAAGATTCATGATCATACAGTGATTAATAGATGGTCTTTAATCTAAGTGGGAGAAAAACTTCATTTACTTGCAATATACATCAGTAGTAGAAGAACTGATGCTAATCAGGAGGCTGAAACCAATTTGTCAGCACCTTTTTCCAGTTGCTCTTTAACTTAATTAACATCCACTGTCTTCATCTCTTGTCAGTGGTAGTTGTTCTTCCTTTTTTTGTGCTTGCTGATAACCTGCTTCTGTTTGAACTTGTACAAACACATTTTCATTTTTTCTGCTCACTCTTCCCACTGATCATACGTGTTTTAATTCCTTCCTTATCATAGCTAATTTTCATTCTGTCACTCCTTCATTTCTTTAGACGTTTCAGATCAAATATGGACTATGTAAGTATTAAAACAAAATATTTTCTCAATTTTTACTTATACAAAAAGTGTAGAGGACGCAGTCAAGGTATGTAGATACGAGCAGTCTCCTGATGTATCTTCAGGATTTTTTTTTCAGCTCTTCAGTAGCATTTCACTCAGGTGAGATATAAAAGACACCCTGGAAAGTTGGATTAAAACCTATGTATCTGAGCAGAACCAGTGACTAATTTGGTTTTGAAGAGGCTTTAAAGCCAACAGTTAAAAGTGGGACAAGTTCATTACTGTGAATTCTTTGTGACAGCTAAGCTTAATGTAGCATGGCCCAGATATTGCTCTGGTAACTGGTAGATTTGTCTAAGATAGCTGAGCCTATCTGCGTTATCTGTTAGGGTGTTATTACCAAAAAATGAATGAAGTACTTCACATTATGGATTATCTACTTTAAAACTTAAGGCTCAAGGTATGAATTGGATGTGGGGTTCAGGGGGTGGGTCGGACATTGCCTTGCAGTCCAGTAATCATCATAGAGATTCTCCAGTCCTGTGTTTATCAGGGATATGGATACAGCACCACAAACAGATCCATTCTTTATCTTTTTTCCATACCATCGTGGTTAAGGAGCTTTGTAAGTTGAGACCAAGAGGAGAAAAAAGCCAAATAAGCAAAAAGAGGCTTTATAGGAAGATTCCAACCAGCATCAGCTGACAGCCTGCACCTTCATTTGCATGGCCTTTTTGGCAGAATAAACATGCTGGGCCATCTACAGATCCTGCTGTTCCAGACTCCACTTTCCATTGGTCTCCCATGGCTGTGTGGCTCCTTTCTCTGCGCAGCTCTTGTGGTGAATGATGTTGGTTCTAAGAGAAAGATAGGACTGCAGTATTAATTTGGATTGTCCACTATAAATTGTCAACTTGGTTGCTGGCTTATGGAGAGGCTTCTTGTATTTGTCTTATCTTTGCTACCTGTTTTTTGACTGAAGAAGCTAACTGCTGCAGGAGGGCAGATGACTGCATGTATTAGCCTGCTGTTACCATATATTGTTTTCAGTAGCACTCTAGATACAGTTTGTCTGCTTTTGAATTGAAGCAGAACACTCCCTAGGACAGGAAAATGCATTGCTTGTGTTTACATCCAACGCAAGGGACGTTCTGAGGATGTTTTTTCTCATAGTCACTCCCACAGGTTTTTGTGATATCAGACATAACCAATTTCCAGTTGGGTTAAGAATTGTCCTCAGATCTTATCTTCTAAGAAAGATGAGAAATCAGTGTTAGAATGCCAGCCTGGGAAGCATACCAGTTAGCTGAAATACACCTGTAGAATAATGTAGCTGTTGACAGGTTGTACATGATATCTGCTGTTTCTTCATCATTGCTCTATGTCTTTTCCCAGGCTTCACAGCATTATTCAGAGCAATTTGTTGTCCGCTCTCATTTTCCTCTCCAAACAGAAAGAATCATCTTGGTTTGTTGTTTGTCATTGTTGCAGGTGGAGTTGGAGGTCACGTTGCCAGGGGAAGGGAAGGACAGAATATTTAAGGTGGCCATAAAGTGGATGTCCTGTGTGAGTTTGCAGGCATTGCATGATGCTCTTTCTGGCCGGCTGCCGAGCGTCCCGTTTGAAACCATCCAGGCACTGGATGTCGTGATGAGGCACTTGCCTTCCATGAGGTGAGCAGAAGACACTGATATTGCTGAGGAAATTTGCTTTATTATCTGAAATACTTGGGCAGCTACTTTGGGTTGGATGTTCTTGTACAGCTCTACCAAATAACAGCTTCCTAATAGGTCATGGAGCCAGGCGAGGTAACATGGCACTTCTCTGTTTATCAGATGATGGTTTTAAATGAAGAGAGGGGAGATTTAGTTTAAATCTAAGGAGGAAATTCTTTACTCAGAGGATGGTGAGGCACTAGAACAGGTTGCCCAGAGAAGCTGTGGGTGCTCTGTCTTGGGAGGTGTTCAGGGCCAGGTTGGATGGGGATGTAGGAACTGGGCTTTATGGTCCCTTCCAACCCAAGTCATTCTATGATGTGATATCAAATGAGAAGCCTCAAAGCTGGATACAAGTCACTTTTCACACTGAAAATTACTGAAAATCGTTCTACATTTGTGTGATCTCAGGGCAGGGGTGCCCTGGTACCCCAGCTATACTCCATCTATCTGTAGCCTTCTGAGAAGGAAGCTCCCTGAGCTGGCAGTTATTGGAGACTGGGAGATAGTACTTAAGTATGGCTCAAAGGTTAATTATCCTATTCCTGTGTTCCTTCAGCATGTGTTAATTTCTGATTTTCTGTATTATCGGGCTAGAGAGACATTAATGGCACTTAGTACAACAGGTTTTTTAGAGGAAAAATGCTTTAAAGTGGCTTTGTCCCAAGCAACATACATGGTATTTGTAGTCAAAACAGTATGTTTCTTTAAATCTGCTGCCATGAAACAACTTGCTTAAGACCACTGTTCAAATTAAATGCACTTGGAAAATAAAGAGCAAATTTCTGTGCTGAACTTTCTCATTTTAAAGGACTGAGAAGTTTATGCAAATATATTTAAATAGCCTTATATTGCATTGACTTTATCCTCATATTCAGGAAAAGAATCTGTCAGCTTTTACAGTAAATAAAACAGCTGAGACAAATGATTCACACATTTGTATTCAGAGAAACATATTAGCACTGGTTTTGATGTTTGATATTAAATGTGTAGTACTGAATTACCAGTGCAATCATTCTGATGCAGTTGAAAGATGCTTCAGCAATGCTTGCTAGGTGAGTCGTTTAGCAAAACAGTGTTTCCATGGATTTCAGGTTAAGCCACGCAGAAATAAGGGGAGAGATTATTATTTATGGTGTTGTTTGTAGCTTGAAACACTGATGTTTGTGTGCTTTTGAATAGGCAACAATAAAATTATAACTAGTATAAATATTTTTTACCTTGGCTGTAATTTATGATGTGGATTTACCTTCTGTTTCAGATATACTCCAGTGGGGAGATCTTTTTTTACAGCATCAGAAGGGTGCTCAAATCCATTAGGTGGTGGCAGAGAGGTTTGGTTTGGATTCCATCAATCAGTCAGACCTTCCTTATGGAAAATGATGTTAAACATTGATGGTGGGTTTTATACAATTCTCTCTTTTTTTTCTCTCTCTGTCTTTCAACGGAGAGGGAAAAATTCAGTACCTTCACTGTATTTATTTCAAAACTTATTCCTCTGTATTTCTGTAATACAATTTTAATGTTTTTGTCTACAGTATCGGCAACTGCATTTTACAAAGCACAGCCAGTTATTGAGTTTGTATGTGAAGTTTTGGATTTCAAAAGCATTGAAGAACAACAAAAACCTCTGACAGATTCCCAAAGGGTAAAGTTTACCAAAGAAATAAAAGGTAATAAATATAACTGCTTTCTTCTGTCTGCTGGTGTATTACCAACATATATTCAGAAGATTTCCTATAGCTGCTGACTGTTTGGGAAGCAAATTATGACAGTGAACGTACACTTTTTTGAACAAACATAAAGGCAAGAAACATTATTGGCATTTAGTTCAAGATTTTGACAGTTCCTTTGTCAGTAAGCAAAGTTAGGTCAGTTCAGATAAATACGTGGCTTCTGACTTGATTCACTAGTATGAAATGTTCATTGAATGGATTTTGGACTCCATCATCATAGAATCATAGAATTGCTCAGGTTGGAAAAGACCTCCAAGATCACTGAGTCCAACCTCAACCTTACCATACTACCCTAACTCTTAACAACCCACTGCTAAATCATGTCCCTGAGCACTGTGATCCTTACGGATCCTTACAACTGCTGGTATTCTATGATTTATTTTTGAAGGAGGCACATTTTGAGTTCAGATATGCACATAAGTAAATCAGCACTTGAGCATGTGATAACTATACATGTGTGCATTTAGCCCGATCGCTGAATAGGGTAATTTCAGTTACCTCTGTCCTTAATGAGAGTACAGCAGTGAATCCATGAAGATGACGTTTCGCTCTCTTCTTAAGTGTTGGGATAAACTCAAACTTCCTTGCAGATGGGTTTCCTGAGATCAATTACTGGCTTGTGGTTTACATAACAGCTTCTCATCCTTGCAAGCCTTCATTTCATTGTGTGTTGTCATCACCTAATCATTTGATCAAGCGTCATGGCAAAGTTACTTGTGCGTGTGGACATCTGAGAGCATCTCAGTGCAGCATCCCTTGTTATGTCAGTCTCCTTAAAAACAATTCATCTTCTTAAATGACAGTTGTTTTTTCCATCTTGTACTTAGGAACTGAATACGGTTTATTCTTCAGAAAGTACTTCCATCACTAAATACAAGTTTCGATTAGAAATGAGAAAACATTTTTTTCACTTCTGTCATGTCAGTAGTGCCAATCCCAGTTTTGTAAGACGGCCCTGTTTCTAAAGTGATTTTAAATTGTTTGACAAGACTGGGATTTTACATTTGTTATTTCTAATTACCCTATCTTAATTTTCTTTGAAATTAATAGTGGCAATATTTCCATATCCAAATTTTCTAATAAATCAGTACTGTAGTTTTTACATACTTACATTTTCTTTGTACATGTACTCTTCCAGGAAGTCTATTATCGTAGAATCATGGAATCCTATAATTGCTCAGGTTGGAAAAGACCTTAAAGACCACAACCTAACCATACTACCATAATTCTAACAACCCTCTGCTAAATCATGTCCCTGAGCACCACAGTTTATTCAGTTACCAAATGATGCAGTGAATGAATCAAAACTCGTAGTAAGGAATTGAGCTCCTTGTGGTGTTCACTGAACTCTTACCCATAACGTTTCTTCTGGAAAGTCAGGGTCCTTCTGTTGTGGTTTACCTTGGCAGGCACTAAGCACACCCAGCTGTTGGCTCTCTCCTCATGGAGTGGGATGTTTGGGAGAACTGGAGGTGGGGGGAGAAGTAAGACTTGTATTGAGTTGAGATAAAAGCATTTAAACACATGAAATAAGTGCTGCATGATGCTATTCACAGAAGCACAGAATTGTAGGGGTTGGAAGGGACATCTAGAGAAAATTAACTATCTCATCTGGAGCCAACACACCTTCCTTCCTGATACGTTAGCTAAGAAAGAGGGAAGTGAAAGAAGAACTCCAGCAATCTGTCTTGTATTGAAGCAGCTTCCCATCATTGTTACTTCCACAAAAAGTCTGCAGAATCATCTTGAAAACTTGTATTTGACCAACAAGAAGTCTTCAAGAAAATTAGAAATTCTGATTTTGTACTTGTTGGAGAAACAGAATTGCCAGCTTTTTTCCATAAGGATTTTGAGTTTTCAAGAAGAAATAATTACAGCAGGCTCGCAGCAAAGCTAATTGTAAACTGAGGTAACATTTTATTGAAAATACTGTGCTGCAGACTTTAGAAATACTTGTGAAAACTTGATATTTATTGGTGGCTTAGTAGTAGAGGCACTTAAGCCCTGAAAAATTAGGTGGGAAGATCAGTGTGCTCAGCAAGTTATTAGCACCTTTGACAGACATCATAAATAATGCCGTGTTACTCGGCAGCAATATGAGTTTATGCCCATGTACAGATAGATATGGAATCTTAATTTACAGCCCCCTCTTTTCTATTCCCACACATTCAACATCCTAAACGTAACAGTCATCCCTCACCTGTTTCTGTCTGAGCACAAAAGCAACACAAATGAAAGTTCTGTATTCAAGCTCATGTCTGAGGTTAGTGGTAGTTCTGAAGTACTTCTGTTCATGTAGCTGTGCTGTGCTGATCTGGGGTGGAAAAATTATTCTTTAGGTGGGGAGTTTGACTTTTATGGTCAGCTTCTCTCTGAAAGCTGTCGGGTTTCAGGTAGGCTCCGTTTTTGTGCAGGTGGGGATTGCAGCAGATGTTTGTCTTCACTAACAGTGAGGCCCAGCTGCCTCATTCCCAGGGTTTGTTGTGCTGTCTGGAGATCTCACAGACACTGCGTGTTTAGACATAAAATTTAAACACGGTTTTTATTCCATGCCCTTCTTCTCCTTCCACCATCCCTGACTTCAGTAGAGAGAGAGAGAATTAATTGAATACGTCCAGCTTTTTCAGCTCTAAGGGCTTTAAGATTTTGCCTTGTTTCTGAAGTTCTTTGCTTAATTTTGGCTGAATCAGTATTGTGTTGTTTTGTTTTGTTTATTTTGAAGTTCTAAGTTTTTTTTAATAGTCTTCAATTCCCTGAGAACACACTAAATAGTCATTAGCTTTATTACACAGTCTGAGTAGTCTTGTAGAGTTTTATGGGCACTGACAGTTTGATTTTGAAGAAATGGTGATAAATGTTTCTTCAATTCTAGGTCTAAAGGTGGAGATAACACACTGTGGACAAATGAAAAGAAAGTACAGAGTGTGCAATGTCACCAGACGACCAGCAAGTCACCAAACGTAAACTATTTTGCTACTTCTTATGTGTGTGTTTAATTTTATGCTTGAAGAATGTCATGACTTCGTTAGGGAGCCAGGAAAAAAGCTGTCTTGCAAAATGGTACTTTGGTCAGTAAATTTAAAATATAACTCCAACTATCCCCAGTTTTGTTGTTTCTTTTGTTCTATGTCTATTCTTTAAGGCACTTAATGGCATTTCAGCCACTCCTTTCCCTTTAAGATGTGCACTTTTCTTTCATTTTGCTTTCTGGATTTCTTCAACACTAGAAGAACAAGGCACCCTGTTGGTAGCATAGTTCCCCAGAACTGCTGAGCAGTGAAGTGGTAGCAGTTGGATCAGACTCTTAATCTTGCCTGTTGCCATTCCGTTTTTCCCTGGAAAAAAATCTTTATAACCAACAAAACTTTTTATCACCAATGAGGGTTTTGTAGGTAGCCTCAAGTAAGCAGGTAGTTTACCTTGTTCTAAGAGAGCAGCATGAGAAACAGCTCTGATAACAGATTGCATGATGAAATAACTCATCAGTATCTCAGTATGTTATTTAATTGGTTAGGTTTAATTTCCTATTCCTTCAAGTGATGCATTTTATTAACAAAAAGACCATTTGTGCCAACTTGGTATAAACATATGCGAATACTTATGCATATATGGAAATGTATTTGTAATGTACAGAGAAATGCATTTCTGAAATGCTTGTTGGGTTTGTGTGCCTCACAATAAGCTCACAGTTTTCTGTGCGTGACATTTCATGAGTTCTGCAGGTATCACAGATACTTAAGACATTAGACATGAGTCTTTGCCTCTAAGGCACTCACTCTTAGAAAATTTAATTGGTAGCTTTAGGTATCGAGTTAGAGGAATGCCTTCTGGGGTATTCTTTAATGACCTGTGGTAGTGGTAATGATGTACTTACGATTACAGAAATAAACATGCATCATTTAAACAAGATGGGTTTAACCTCCAGCAAACTTAGAATGCGCTAAGAAGTGAATTGAAGAAATGTGGCAAAACATTTTACATAAATTAATGGCTCATTTTCATGTTTGATTTCCCCTAGATTCCCACTTCAGCAGGAGAATGGACAAACAGTTGAATGCACTGTAGCTCAGTATTTTAAGGACAGGCACAAATTAGTTTTACGCTATCCTCACCTTCCATGTTTACAAGTTGGGCAGGAGCAGAAGCACACGTACCTTCCTCTTGAGGTCAGTAAGCTTTGAAATAATACTGTACTCTGGGGATGTGGTCAGGATGGAAAAAAAGCTAAGCTGTTGACAAACTGTTCAGTGAGAAGTCAGCTCGAGAAACTGTAAAGCAGTTGAGGTGGGGAGAAGTCAAAGTTGTGTTGGTTTCGTTCTTTTTAACTTCGTGTTGGGGATCTTGTAGGTGTGCAACATAGTGGCAGGACAAAGATGCATCAAAAAACTCACTGACAATCAAACTTCCACTATGATTCGAGCAACTGCCAGATCAGCACCTGACCGTCAGGAAGAGATCAGCAAATTGGTAAGTGTTCCCTGAGTGTGAGCCAAGGGTAGGAGATTTTCTTTCTGTTCCCGTTAGCAGGTTCTGAGGAGTTTGTGCACTACCAACAGGTTGTTGCCCAAATACGGTTATTTCAGAAAAGCTGAGATTTGAATGGAGAGAAGTTCCCTTTTTCTGCAAACAATAACTCATTTGTTTGGATTTCAGATGCGGAGCGCGAGTTTTAACACCGACCCTTACGTTCGTGAATTTGGGATAATGGTGAAGGACGAAATGACAGATGTGACTGGTAGAGTCCTCCAGCCTCCCTCAATCCTCTATGGAGGCAGGGTATGTTGAGGCACAACAAAATGTGACTGCTTTGATTACCAGCTGCGGTAACTTCGGATTGCTGTGTGTGAATGAATGATGCTGAATGCAATGAGGTTACAGTCATCATAGGTGTAGTGTTTAATGTTTAGTATTATTGCTAGAGGTCCTTATGTTTCGTGGCCACATTGTTGATAATTCTTTATTTCTCAGTTGCTTCTTTATTTCTGTAGATAAAGCTAAGGTAAAATGCATTTATATAAACTTCCCTGGGAGATGTTGCTTATTTCAACTCTGAAATCTTCTGAAACTTCTGATTTTGAGTGCTCTGGGTGGAGCAGCTCTGTTTAGGACAACTATTTTAGGACATTATCTCTGTTAGCATGTTAGTCTCAAAACTGCCTCTTCCTGTAGAAGGCAGGTTGGCAGGTTTTTCTTTACAGTGACTTTTCAGATGGCTTCTGCCTGACTTAGTCGTCTTACTGTGGTGCCTTGCAAACAAAAATCTTGTAGCATCTTTATCAGTTACATAGCCTGTCTTGTTGATACAAGATCAAAGCCTCCATGTCTGGCATGACTTAATTCATGGAGGCTTCTCATGAACTTCTACATCATGCATTGCCAGCTGACGATAGTTCTACCAGTGCATCACAGTAACATCCACTTGGTGGGAGTAAAAGGATTGTGCATGTCAAAGTTCAGTACCTGGTCTCCTTTTGTCATCTCGTGGGTCTTCTCTGCAATTGTGTGAGTGGCACCCAACCAGCATTTGCCTCTGCTTACTGGTGTGTGAAATATTGATAGCACTTGAATTAAGTGACACGTGGAGAGTTCACTGTGCAGTTGTAAAGTCACTGTAGAAATGTGTATTCCTGTTAACATTACATTCTGACCATCAATCTTTGACTCAACCCATGCATAATTTCTGTTTGCTCTTAATTTATATTACCAAAGAAAATCATCAACAATAAACATTGCCTGCTTCCTACAGTTATTTTTCTTAAGAAGCTTTACTTTTCACCAGACTAGCAGATTGCCTTGTTGCAGTGATAGGATGATCTTTCTAAGATAAGATGGATGATTGAGCAGTAGAGAAAGAGCTCAGATAATTAAATAGCTTACTAGTTGGAGGGAAGCATAAATGGCTTTTCTTAGTATGAATCATTTTCTGATTTAATGTTTGGTTTTTTTTTTCTTTCCACACCCAGAATAAAGCAATTGCTACACCAGTTCAAGGAGTTTGGGACATGAGAAATAAACAGTTTCACACTGGAATTGAAATAAAGGTTTGGGCAATTGCATGCTTTGCTCCCCAGCGCCAATGCACTGAGGTGCATCTTAAGTAAGTGTATTGCATAAGGTGATAATTTTATTACTTATTATGTATGGAAATGGACTTATGTCAAACAAAATATGTAATCTAAATGTGGCAGTATATCTTTAACGCTGCTTTTGATGCTCTTTTGAATTATGCAGCATATAGCATAATGAAATCCTCAAAATTAGACTTGCCAGAACCAACACATAATGCAGGGCAAAGCTCCTACCACAGTGAGGGCTTGGGATTGAGTTTAAGGTGGTCAAAGTGATTAATGGAGAATATTCATCACTGAATGTTTGTCAAGACTTAAAGCTAACTTGTATGTTATAACCTGGTTATATGGCAGGGAATAATTTGTGTACTATTAGAATGTTTGCGTACTAAAGAATATTTTAACAAGTAATCCAGCTTTTGTCTCCAACTTTGCCCAGGCCTGGAGGCACAGCAGTGCATACCATGGTACGCTTGCAGGATCAGTAGAGCTGCTTGTTTTGTTCACTTGGAACATTTAAAGGAAGCTTTCAGATTTTGTATTTTTTTGTCACAAACAAATGGAAGGTTATTGTTAAAAGTGGTACCTGCCGTCCTTGGGCCATGGGAAGTGTGCGTGCCTGTGTAGCTGGATTTCCCTAATTCTTTTGCACAGTTTCTTTCCCTTCATGTATGGGCAAGTGCTGTGTTTAGCTGCCCTTGCTGGTGACTCAGCTGTTCTTTGTCAGGTGAATGCAGGTTCATCGTTATTCATTGCAGTGATCCATAAGGATGTTGGTTTAGATGATTTGCCAAACAGCTCGGGAATGTTTCCCTAACAACTGGTGAGAAAACAGTGGAAACACAACCTTTTACATCCTACTGTGTGTTTCAATCCTTTAGGACTTTCACAGAGCAACTGAGGAAGATTTCCAGAGATGCAGGAATGCCAATCCAAGGGCAGCCATGCTTTTGTAAATATGCCCAGGGAGCTGACAGCGTGGAGCCCATGTTCAGGCATCTCAAGAACACCTACACCGGTCTGCAGCTCGTTGTAGTAATTTTACCAGGAAAAACACCAGTCTATGGTCAGTGAGTGCCAAATCATGAGCTTGAGTTTTAATCACAGTTTCTGGCATTTTTTTCTGAGTTATCTGAATGATGGAAGTCTAATTGACTGCAGATTAAATTTGCTGCTTTTCTTGTGCTGCATGATGTTTTGTATTAATACCTTAATTCATTTCATTATGTTTGGCTGTGCTTTTAACTTGCTCTTCCTGTTGGGTTTATTTGATACACGTTTTGTCAGCAGAAAAGCTAAAATCAGAGCTTTTGAGAAATTGATTGAACTGCTCTGTGGTTGATTAAAATACACTTACTGCAGTTCTACATATATTTACTGTAATGCTAAAAGTTCTGAGTGAATAAAGAAGAAGTGAGCTTAAAAACTGCCTAGCTTTTAGGACATCTTTGCTAATTCATGCCATCAGCCCTCTTCGGAAGGCTGAATGAAGTAGAAAGCTTTTGCCCATGGAATTTTGTGGGTGAAAACTCAGCAGCTCTTGGAGACAGATTGATCACTGGTGCATTTCACACAGCACATACACATAGGTTTTAATTTTTGAGACAAACCACACATCTTGTTTTTAAGATCTTCCTGTGCTGCTCCTTTTCATGTCCTGCCTTCCTCCTCTTATAGTTTACCCTGCCTAATTGCAGCCCCATAAACCACCATCCTCTGTCTTCTCCCATAGATTTGAGGGCTCTGATCACAGCCCGTCTGTATCATGCAGCTGCACAATTGTCTTCCCCCATCCCATCTCTCACATTCACCAATTTAATAGAGCAGAAAATATGCTCCTGATTCTTACTTTTCCAAAGGTTATCTGATACAAAGTCAAAAGTAATAGAGACGAAAAAAGAAGCTGCAACTAAAGAATGCTTTTTTCTTTTTTGTTTTCAACCTTCCACATAAAGTTGCTTGTCTCTAATTTGGTCAGTAGAACTGCAGTGCAAAATGACATCTTGCACTGTTCCTGCTCCACATTTAGAGGGGATGCTTTCTTCTTTCTAACCGCTGAGAGGATGTGGTATCATTCCCATCTACTCTCCGTATAATCATCTTTAGTTATGGTTCTCTGTGTTCCTCTAATCATCATCCTTCTCCCTGTGTTCTTCCATAGTCCTGCATTTCCTATGCACATGGCCTTGTCTCCTCCTTTTCGCTCTCCTCAGAAAGTCTTTTTTTGTGCAAGTCAGGGTTAAAGCTAATGAGCTGATAAACTAGAGGGATGTAATGTTCATGGTTGGCTGAATGCTGGCATATTAATACTATTTTTGAGTTACTAGTCCAGAGTTGAATAATGAAAGAACTGCTCGTCGTCCTGATATTATCCATATTACCTGACTTCATTTGCCGAAGGTTTTTCCACAATTATGGTGGCACACTGTAATTCTGACACAAGTAGTGTAATTTAAGAAGAAAGTTCAAATGAGCCACCAGTGCCTTTGGTTACATTTAGAACCCAGGCGCTGTGTTGTCAGCAGATGGAAGCAGGACAGGAGGAGGATGTTTAGAGAGCGGGGTTGGGTCAGGGAGGTAGGTTTGTTCTTATTTCCTCTTCACTGAAATGAGTACTGAAACTCTAGGTGTCAACAAACCAACATCTGGTGCACTGATCTGTACTACAGAAGTATCTGTGTGTCTTTTCTGTCCTGCAGCGGAGGTGAAGCGTGTTGGTGACACAGTGCTGGGAATGGCTACGCAGTGTGTTCAGATGAAGAATGTGCAGAGAACAACACCTCAGACTCTGTCTAACCTCTGCTTAAAAATAAACGTCAAGTTAGGAGGTGTAAATAATATTTTACTGCCACAGGGGAGGTAAGCCATCTTTTATGGAGGTGAAGAGTGTTGTATTGTAAAGGGAATATGCATCACAGAACTTTTTTTTCCCCTACAGTCAATAGCACTGTAGTCTAAGTGATCTTTAGTCAGGCTGTCTGCTGGCTTCTAATGCAGTCCTGCGAAAACTGGGTTACAAAGAATGTAGTGGAATGCTTGTTCCAGTTGAAATTGGTTCTAAGACAGGTTTGTACTGCAGTCTGCCCATTGAAACTGTATGGTTTTCATTTGAGTGAAAAAAGTCTTTTTGCTTTCAGTTTCCAAACAAATAGAAAACATCTTTCTAAGTAGTGTCCTCTCCTTTATAATTTGTGTTCAGGATTGTTTGTCTTGGTGTACGTCTCAGTTTCAGTAGACATCAAAAGCAATGGAAACTGGGAGCAGAAAACTAACTGATTGCCAGGATTTACCTTACAGTTTCCTAATAGTGTTCCAGTGAATATACATGCAGATACACTCTGACTGCAGTTACTTTAATCTAAGTGTAGTGTTAGGTTTCTGCTAGAGTGAAAACACAGCACTTTTTATAATCCTTGCATTTCGGGTTCTAGAGAGCCTATGGAGTAACCTGCTGCATCATTCTTAGGATCCCATTTCAGAGAAGTAAACACTCTGCTTTGCACAGATAAGCAAGTTTTCACTTCACCATGTTTAGGTTAGTCAGATGGCAGCTGCTCAGAAATAATCCCAGAAGTACTTGGCAGCAGGGAAGCACATCATCAGAGGGGAGATAGATTTCATGTGTCTCGATAAATTCCCTTACACTGAAAGTGTACTCAGCTTTGCTCAATAAACTGTATGTTCCTGAAAATGGAGTTAAGTAAAGAGGGAGAGGAGAAACAGCACAACTGCACACAATGCCTAAATGCTTCAGAGGAGCCTGTTTTTGGTTTTTTTTTAAATGGAATGCTTGGATCATTTTGTTAGTTGTTGGGTAGAAGAGCCTTTGATCTGTTGAGCTTCATGATGGTTGCAAGCAGCTGCACTTAGAATTACCTTCAAATTCCTTTTGAGAGCAGGCCAGAAATCAGTTGAATCTGTCTATAATAACCATTCCTAATCCACGCTCACGCACAATTCCAGTGCCCTGAAGTCTCCCATTTAACATTGTTTTGTTAAGGAATAAAGTTGAATTTTAACATTCCCAGTGCAATGTGTTGGTGCTCTATTTTGATGCAAGAGACCAATACCTTGGAGGTTTAATTTGACTTGCAAATATAGCTTAAAAGTTCTGTTTCTAGATCAATAGCTATGATAACCATGTTTTTTTGTACTTAATTACTGATGCTGATTTTCATTTGTAGAAAAAGTTGTAACCTTTTGTGTATGTGTGCAGTTCTTCACTTTTCTCATATGGTATTGGATACTTAAGGAGCAGCTTCTCATCCTTATTTGTGTTCTAATTAAGGGAAGATGTGATTCTTCAAGTTTTTAAAAAAACAAACTTTTTTTGCTCCTTTTTAATGAGAAGTCATTTAAAAATATGCCTAAACATTTTGTATCTAGCATGAGAAGTTTGATGGTGACGTGTGAGTACTGTCACAGTGCAGACAATGGTCTGATCCATTGCAGGTTGTAGACTAATGCATGACAAGAGCAGAATGTGCTATTTAGTTGACTTCTGATGCACTTTACGAAGTGTAAAGGTTGCTGCTTTTACAAATTAGCTTTGTCTTCATACAGACCACCAGTATTCCAACAGCCTGTCATATTCCTTGGTGCAGATGTAACCCATCCTCCAGCTGGAGATGGAAAAAAGCCCTCCATTGCTGCAGTGAGTACACTGTGTGGTTAACTCCTACTTTCTCCACTGTTCAGTTATGAAGCATTTTATTACTCGCAGTTCTTACGTGGCCCATTTCTTCTGATTGCCCATTTATAGCATTCTAAATTATTTTTCTGCAAAATCTAATGAAACTTTGGAGAGCTTGCTCTGCTGCTAATTATGTAAATGTGTGTATTGTGTTGTAAAATGCCTGAGATGCTAATACACTGAGGAGCTTTTCTATTAGCTGGTATTTATCGACCTGTAAGAAGCTGGCGCATGCTGAAATCTGCTTTTTCAGCAGTTAAAAATATTAAGAATTTAGCTAAACAGGAATGTGTCTGCTTCAGTTGTGGTTTGAGCGTCCTGATTATAGAAGCATAGAGTGGCTTGGGTTGGAAGAGTCATCAAGCTCCAAGCTCCCTGCCACAAGCAGGGCCACCAACCTCCAGATCTGCTCCTGGGCAGAAACTGTGCAGTAATTATCTTAAATATAGGGTGCTCTGCCTTATTTAATAACAAAGGTCTTAGTGCTACTGTTGAGTAAATAGACAAAGCAATTGCTTTCACGTTTGCTGTGGTATTAAGGTCTGCTTTTTTATTTTCCAACAGGTTGTAGGAAGCATGGATGCTCATCCCAATCGCTACTGTGCCACTGTTCGGGTCCAGCAGCACCGCCAAGAAATCATCCAAGATTTGGCTGCCATGGTCAGGGAGCTGCTGATTCAGTTCTACAAATCAACCAGATTCAAACCGACTCGTATCATTTTCTACAGAGATGGAGTTTCTGAGGGGCAGTTTCAGCAGGTTATGTTTCATTTTGACATTTGGATTCTGTTGTTTTCTGGTGATAGATGTGGTTTTATGTAGAAATGAACATCCACCAATCTCTTGCATTCCAGCCAAGATAAGTGGGGAAAATGTTTTCATATAATTAGCAGAAATCCTAAAGAATTGCTTTTTTTTCATTGCACTCAGCTTTTTTTCAGTTCTTGTTGATCCCTGTAGCACTGTAAGTGACTTCAGAGAGCTGGAAAATAGCACGCATTTGAACAGTTCTGGAGATGATTCCTTTTACTAGCTTGAAAAATAATTAGTCTGTTGAATATTCAACAGCCTAATTACATGTTACTTTGTGTTTGGCAGTTAAAAAGATTTTGACATGTAGCTTATTAGCCTGAGCTGGTGAGCTAATTTCTTCTCATTAAGTGAAGAATCTGAGGTTTGATCGTGCGTGCTTTGACATCTCCTAAGTGAGTGACAGGGCAAGAGGGAGCATGATATCTGAATTAATCTGAAAGCTGGTTTTGTATTTATCACATGTCTTTATGTTTATGATTCAGGTTCTCCATCATGAATTGCTGGCTATCAGAGAAGCATGTATTAAACTAGAGAAGGATTACCAGCCTGGAATTACATTTATAGTTGTGCAGAAAAGACATCACACCAGACTCTTCTGTACAGATAAAAATGAGCGGGTACGTTCGTGTTGTGACTGGCAGATATCCAGATCACAGCCAAATTGCTTATGTGCTGTATGGAAGGGGCCTCTGAGGGCCGTGTAGCCCAATCCCCTGCAGTGAATGGGGACACCACAGCTCAGTCATGTTGCCCAGGGCCTGATTTAGCCTTGCCTTGAATGTCTCCATGAACGGGGCATCCACCACCTCTCTGCAACCTGTGCCAGTGTCTCACCACCCTCACTGTAAAAGACTTTTTCCTTACATCCAACCTAAGTCTACCCTCTTAAAGCTTGAACCCATTTCCCGTTGTTCTGTCACCACAGGCCTGCTGAAGAGTCTGCCCTTTCTTTCCTGTAGCTCCCCTACAGGAGAAAGCTCCCCTACAGGAGAAAGCTCCCCTATATCAAACGTTTGTCATGATTAAAGAACTGTGTAACAACTGTGTAACATAGTGGGTGAAATATTTCTGCCTGTTAAGGAAAATGTTCTTTTTCTTTCCCATATGATAAACCAGCAAGAAGCTTTTATGAAACAGCAACAGGATATTTTGTTCAACAAGTCTGCTTGTAATTTCTTGATGTTACTCAAATTCTTCATTCTTTTCAGTTTTTTACTATCTCAAGACACTTAAATGGAGGGATTGCTAAGGTGGCAGTATAGAGCTTAAAGGGTAGGAACATGAAATAGACCAGGCATTCTCAGAGAGATCTGTTCAGTATTTCCAACAGTGCTTAAGGCATGCCTCATCCAGTTCTGAAGTAGGGAGTGTCTGTGGGTTTTGATTCCTGCTGGATGTACAGTGACTTTTGGGTAGCTGGCTGTGATAGAGACACCTGCACAGTAGAAACTATTAGGTGAGATGAACTCTTTCCTTAATGCTGTGTGTAAGGCAGGCAGATGTGTCTTGGACACCAGTGATTTGATTTGGGAGTATTGAGTCAACATGTGATTTTGTATCTGTGAACATCTCAGATGGTTTTATGAATGCATTGCAGTCACCATTGTGTCTCTTGTGAAGTACATGTGGAAGTGTTTTGCCCTTTCCGGTGGGGAGGAGATTCCCCAGGGCAAGGATGGTGTCATTGCTGGAAATGAAGAGTTCCCAACTGCAAACCTCTGTTCAAATGCAGCGTTTTCCTTCAGTTCTTTTTCCTGCTGCTGGGAATCTGTATGTGAGCATTCGAAGCCTGCTGCAATTGAGGGCATTATTTACTGTTAATGCTGACATGAAGGTGATTTTGTATATTGAGAACGCGGTTAAAATTGTTTCAAGGTAAAGGTATTTCTAAGTTCGGCTTCCAACCACAGATTGTTCTCTGTGGGTATAAACAAGACAGATTAAGGGGGATTCTGTCCTTAATTCTGTCACAAAATGGGAAGGCGAAAGGTGTTTGACAGATCAGTTGTGGGAAGCTCTTCCTGCGTTAATCAGAAAAGCTCATTATGATAGATAACCTCAGGGAAGATTTTGCAGCTCACCTCTTTTCTTTCTTTTTTTTTCCTCTCAATAGTAGAGAAACTTCAAAATTTACTTTCAGTTGTCCCTTCTGGACTTCCTGCTTTTTACAGATTCTTTAAAAACGTTTCTTGCCTTTGCTATACAGCTGGAAAAGAAAGAAGTTTATGTGCATTAATAAATCTGTATGCACCGTTCACACAGGTTGGAAAAAGCGGGAACATTCCAGCTGGTACCACAGTGGACACAAAAATCACCCATCCATCGGAGTTTGACTTCTACCTGTGTAGCCACGCTGGTATTCAGGTACAGCATTTTGCACGGGGTGGGAACTTTTAAACATAGCATTGGCTGTTGGTATTCCTGGTGGTGTTTGCACAGGAGACAAATCATACAGCCTCTGTGTTTCTGCTTTGTCCTGTACTGCTAACATCTAAAAGAAATGAACCTAGCAGACAGGAAGCACGCACTGTGCTTTCAGTTTACTGTGTTGAATTGCTCCCACGTAACTTTGGGGAAGCAGGCAGTTCTGTGGCAGTTCACCCTCAGAGGTGGAAATGTAAGGAGTTGTTTTTGACGTTGAGTATGTGATCTGCCTTCAGGGAACAAGCAGACCTTCACATTACCACGTCCTCTGGGATGACAATCGTTTCTCTTCAGATGAGCTGCAGATTCTTACCTACCAGCTGTGTCATACGTACGTACGCTGTACTCGTTCAGTTTCCATCCCTGCACCAGCATATTACGCACACCTGGTTGCCTTCAGAGCCAGGTATCATCTGGTGGATAAAGAACATGACAGGTGAGTTGCATGGCTTTGGATTACTGTAGAATTTGACAGGGCTTCTGGGATCAGCAGCATCCTTGGTTAGCAATTGGAGGGCAGATTGATTGGTTTTTTTTCTCCAGTGAAATACATGGGGGGAGTGGCCGGGGTGGGGAGAGAGAAGAAAGAGGTGTTGTGTTCATGTGTCCTTCTTTGCTGTTGTTCCATTTCAGAACTTCAGTAATGTTTTAAGGGGAATTAACTTAGTACAGAAAAGACAAAGGGCTGTTGGAGAGGGTCCAGAGGAGAGTCACAAAGGTGATCGGGGGACTGGAGCACCTCCCCTACAGAGACAGGCTGAGGGAGCTGGGCTTGTTCAGCATGGAGAAAAAGAAGGCTGCAGGGTGACCTCATTGCAGCCTTTCAGTACCTAAAGGGAGCCTACGAACAGGAAGGGAACCAACTCTTTGAAAGGGTTGATAACTGCAGGACAGGGGGAAATGGTTTTAAGTTGATGGAGGGGAGATTTAAGTTGGATGTCAGGAAGAAGTTCTTTACAGATTGAGAGTGGTGAGGTGCTGGAACAGGCTGCCCAGAGAGGTTGTGGATGCCCCGTCCCTGGAGGTATTCAAGGCTAGATTGAGGTGTTCATGGGCAGCCTGGTCTGGTATTAAACGGGGAGGTTGGTGGCCCTGCATGTGGCAGGGGGTTGGAGCTTCATGATCCTTGAGGTCCCTTCCAACCCTGGCCATTCTATGGGTCTGTGAACTTTTGACCATTCTATTCAGAAGAAAGGAATGGTATGAAAATCTTACTTGAAAGGAGGGGCAGAATAAATACGGTTTCCTTCCCCCCCTTCTCTTTCAGTGCTGAAGGCAGCCACACTTCGGGTCAGAGTAATGGCAGAGATCATCAAGCACTTGCAAAAGCAGTTCAGGTTCACCAGGACACGTTGCGCACGATGTACTTTGCTTGACATGTTTCAATGTTCAGCGACTCAGTACAGCACTGAGTTGGATTCACGTGAGACCAGCTGCACTTAGACCAACAGTTGCCCAAGCTCCAGTGACAGCCAGCAATGAGTGATGTATCTTCATTTTCATTTTTCCCCCCTTTTTGCAAGAAAGCCTTCCGTCCAGAATTTCAGACTTGGTTATGAACTGCATTCTTCTACAAAGCCCCACGATTGTTGGAAATGTGGTTTGCCAAAATCTCTTAAGCTGCCTGTTATAAAACAGACCCATATTTTATAATTAAATCAAGAGCTGTGATCTCAGGGCTTAGGGGAAAAAAACAAAACACAAAACTCTTCATTGTTTGCTATTCATTTAATTGCTTTTAATAATTTGGAGAGATCTAATTTGTACTAAAGTTAATGGGCTAAAATGCTGTGAATTAGCTTTTAATACGAAGGAAAGCAGAGCATTTTTTGACTATTCATGAAGCCTTGGTTTCATTCTAGATGCATTTCCAAAAGTTTTATTTTCAAAAGAAAAGAATGACAAAATCCTGCTTTCCAGCTGTCTTACAAAGATTTTTTCTCTGCGTGTCTAAGGGCAAATGTATTTTCTGAAGCTTGTTCTTGAATGTTTTTTATTGTGCTGCATTTAAAAATGTTTTTCATAGACTAAAGAAGAATTTTAAAGCAGAATGAACGAACTTGTACCTGAACTTTTAATAGGCGCAGTCAGATTGGCAGAAGAAGAGGTGCCATTTTTAAGAAAAGCAAAAGAATTTAAGGTTGTTGTTTTTTTGTTTTTTTTAAATCATACTGACAGCTAACTTTAGAATTTGTCATACAGGACTGTGACACTCTCCAAAGTCTCTAAGGAATACGGGTCTGTGGTGATAAATACAGTACAATCCTCTTTCACTGTTATGTTTGAATTAATGTAAATTTTATATGTGTTTCACAGTATTAATGTGATAGACTAGATGCTATTATTTATTTTTATTTACTAAGGAGTGCTCATTATACTTCTGTTAACATATCAAGAATGCTTTGGATTTAGAAATTAAAACCTTATCGTGAGGACATTACTATTCAAAAGCAAAAATATGCAATTGACTTTGATGCGAGAGTTGAGAGCTGCGTACAGAGGACGCTGTGTAGCAGTCTGTGGAGAAGGGCTTTTCAAAGCGTACCCACAGCGTGGCAGGTTTTACCTGTGCAGTCAAAGACGCACACGAGACCAACGTTCTGCATCCATCCAAGCACAAGCAATTGTATTTTATTTATGTGTTGATTATTGGGGAAGCTGGAGCTCTAAGAGGGGGAGGTGGTTTGATGTTTGTCGCGTGGACAGAAGTCAGAGAATCTATGCAGTAAAGGTGAATCTTAGGAAACTGAAGTTTACTTAGGAAGGGAGGTGAAACCTTCGTTATGCATAAGAGTAAACGTGAGAGTTTGGCCATTCTCCTAGGAGAAGCATTAAGTAACTGGTAGTTATTAGACAAACACTTCTGTTAGTTTGCACACTGGGTTCATTAAAAACCATAGTACATATGAAAACCATTGCACTAATGATGATGCCACAAGCAGGTGTAGAAGAAAAAGGAAAAAGCCCATGAAATGTGTTTATGCCGACTTGTTTTTGTCTATTTTCGTAGGAAAACTTAAAATCCACCCTGTCAACGTGTATTTTAAAGATGTTCTCTTCCATTTTGCTTTGTCTTTTCCCTTTTCTCTTAGCGGATGCTCAGTCACTGTTCTGAGTCCATATACCTCTAGCTGCTGAGCTGGGCCAGGAGCTTTAAGCAAGGCAGAGGTGTGTGCCATGCAGCAGGGAGCCCGTAGCTGGCTGCTTGCTCAGTAAGCTAGAAGTGCCCAGCCTTTGCTGCATTCAGAGTTTTAGGTACGTAACTCAGTGCAGATTCCAAGCATCACCTTGTAGCAGCGTGTTGGTGTCGTTCAGGTGAAACAACGATGGCAGTCCTGCTAGCAGATGTTTGTGTTGTTCTCGTTTGTTGGTTAGCCTGCCAGGTCAGACCTTTGTCTCGTGATGTGAATCTAGCTTTTAAATGATAGACAGTGTAACAGAAAGCAAACTCCACGTCGCGTTGTCTGTCTTCACGTTTTCCAGCAGCCAGGCTGTACGTGCCTCCCTTACACGTACTGCTCACCTGCAGAAGCTTTTTCACACTTGACACATTGCACTTCTGTGTGTTTGCTTCGTGCGTTTCAGATTTCAATTCGGCAGAGTTTTATAAGTGAATTTATTTTTATATGAATTACTCTCAACAAATACAAGGAAGATCAAGCATTTTAAAACTCCAGTTATGTTATTTGCTGCTTGTTACGCGGAGACCTCTTGGATGTGAATTTCGTCCTCCTTTTCCCTCTCTGTGCAGTTCTGGCATAACTGACTTGGTGCAGATGCCCAGATGGGGTGAGGAGGACAGACAAGCTGTCTTGACCCCAAATCTTATTTCTGAAGCAGGTCACGGCACTCCCTGCACCCTCTGGTGGATGCATTCTTTGGGCTGGCATAGTAGCTGTGCACTCTTGATCTGAGAGTAGCCGTCATCTGTGGGTCCTCTTGGAATGAACAGAGATTTCTGTGCAGTTTTCCTTCCCTGAGTGTGAAGAACTTGGGATGGTTACATGCATTTCAGGCTGGAGGCGTTTCTGCCTTTCACTGATTTTTTCATCCTCTCTTACTGCTGATTCTGCAGCTTGATTTCTCCCTCCTTTCCCTTGCTGCCCCTTTTCCCCCAACTGGTGAATAATCAAATAGTTTGAAGCCTTTTTCTAAAACAACATTGATGAAGGTACACATGTAGAAAAGTGCAGTGTGCTGTAAACCCAGAAGCTATCTTTCTGGCAGCATTCCTGAAGTTCCAAGTATTTCCTATCCAAAAAGAGGAAGAAGAGGTTCGGGGGGAACGGCCGAACACCTCCAACCTTCCTGTTGGTATTATTTGCTTACCTCCCATGTGTTTTGTCAGAACAGCACTATCTCAGGTAAACACAAAGCTCCAGATGTCTCTGCCTCGCATGCGTTCCTGCTGTCGAAGTTGTAGCTGGGGTTGGCAGTTATAACCACTGAGTCACTGTGCAGCTCAGGCCAGCAGTAACCAAACACGTTTTACCCTTTTGCAGTTGTGTTTTGAGCCGTGCAAAGGAGACGGCAGTGCAAAAGAGCACTGGGCAGGACCTCTTCCATTGCATTCCTTGTGCTCTCTGTTATTTTCCTGGCAGTGACCTTCTGCTTGAATTCAGCTGTTGGTGCAAGCTGTCGTGTGCTTAGCAGTCTGAAAGTTGATACTGATTGCACCCTGGTGACAAAAATATCTCATTCCCATTGCAGGCAGGAGCACCGTTACGGACAAACTGATGCCAGTACTGCAGCATTTCTTTGGTTTCAGAGCAGCTCACCTGTAAAAGACTGTGCTTGAGAAATGGACAGGCATTAATGAGTTGCTATGGATTAGTCTTCTGGAGTTTGTACTGAAATAATAACACTATAGGAACAAAAATACTCCAGTACTGAAATAGGTTGTGAAATCTCTGTCCTTGGAGAGGCTCAGCCTTGGCTAGGTGTGGGGTTGGGCATCTCCAAAGAGCCCTCTCAGAGCACAGGGTTCTGTGACAATCCCCATATTAACAAAGATAAAATATAAAGCTGTCTTTTCTCATGTTCTGAATGTAATACAGTATTGCTTATTTTTAGAAATTTCTGCTCCAGTGGCTCAATATGGAACATCTACCCTGCATCTTGTACCACCTGGGAAATAGAGTTGAGTCAGTGCTTAGGAGGAAATATCTTAATGTGAAACGTTGGAAGCAGGTGAATTTGTCTCTGCCTTACGTGATTTTGGCATTTCAGATAGCTGTATGCAACGTTAACACTTCTCATCTGTATGCACTGATGTAAGGTCACTTCTGTATATTAGAACTCCTTCTTTGGACTTGGTTCAAGTTAGAGTGTTCCAACTATAAAATTTGGATTGCTGAGTTGCAGTCGTTGATCTTCCATGTTGCAGAAGTTTTGGTCAATTTCCTCACGTTTAGGTCTGTCACAAGGATTTGAAATAACTGTGGAGGTTTTTCAGTGCCCAGGTAGCCTTATGAAAAGATGGAAGTTCCTTGTTAAGATGCTTTTGAAGCTTTATCAGAAGTCACGTGTGCTTGTGCAAAGAGACTTTGTATTGAAAGCAGACTGGGATACGGAGTGCTTTGCACACAGCTGCCAACACTATTTCCTTACTGCAGCAATAAATGGTCGTGTGCATCTCTCCTAAAAACCCCAGTCTTTTTCATACCAGTGTGCTGGAGACTTCTTGTGCTGGAAGAGCAGGTGTGAGTGGGGCCATCTTGGTGTCACCCCATAAGAATTTATGGTGGCACAGATATATTTTACATAGAAAAAAGGAATGTAAAAAAGTTCTGTTAGTCACACTTGATACCAGTGAAATAAATTAACTTTTCCTATTTGTTTTAATACTTTTCTCTTTCAGTAACCTCTTTGTGTGTGTGTGTGTGTGTGTGTGTGTGTTTGTCTGTCCTGACCCGTGTGCTTTCTCAATTTCTAATACAGAACAATACATTTTTTTACCTTTATATTACATTTGGCAATGGGCTTCTTGTTGCACTCTTGCAGTCTTTTCTAAGGAAAACTTTAAGTAGGAGGCAATTGCACTGATTGTTTTTAATCTCTCTTTTTACTGTAAGACGTTTTTGGCATCTGCTGTAGCTGTTTAAAAATACTGTAAATAGTGCTCTGTATAGCAGATATTGAAACGCTGTGGATCTCAGTCCTTGTACTTCCATTGTAGGAATACTCTCATATTCTACAGTATTGAGATAAGAGCTTTGGTTTTTCAGTGTTGTTGTACTTGGTTTGCATTCTGGTATGAATCCAAGGGCACAGTTGCTTTCTCACGTGTTTCCTGGCTTCTTTCAGCATTTGATTCCTGCCTTGTGTTGAGAAGAACCAACCTCTGTGGCAGAATTAGTAGAATCGTGGGGCATTGGGATGGAAGTTACTATGCTGGGATGCAGAACAGCAAGTTTTGTCCCCAGTGACTGGAAAGGTGCATCCCCCCAAAGATGCCCTCAGTCTGATGGAGGTGGGGTTTGCAGTGTGCGCGTGGTGTGGTGCGCAATCAGTTTTATGCTTCAGTTGCTTTTCTTGTGTTGTTTTTTTTGCTTGAAGTGTTAATATGAATGTAATGGCTTGGCCAAATCACTACAAAAGGTGTTTTTATAGGACTCTTAGTTAGCAAGCAGATGCAGTTCAAGGCTACCTCCTGTGTTCCTCTGCAGATAGATTAATTTGTGAAGTGAACCTACTACTACAGCAGCCAAAATGCTCCCAGATCAACCGTATTCTTGTTATGTATTCTGCTTTGTTCCTTGCTGGAGAGCTGCTGGTGCCATACTGTGATCTTGGATGTCTTCCTGAGGTGTCCATGCCAAAGTGGTTGTTGAAGTCTCAGAACTAGCAAGATAGATCTCATCCAGCACGCCTGCTTCCATGCAGTCCCTTTACCTTCTGCCCATTCTCTTGCTGAGTTGATATACTGTTGTTTCCAGATGAGAAGCGTTTTCATAGTTTAGCCATTGGCTGAAAAATACTATCATGTTTTCATTGCAAATGACATGAAGGTGCTTGAAAATATATTTTGAATCTGAGGTAAAAAAAAAAATATATATATATATATATATATGAGTATTTTTTTAACACTTTTTGGATAAGTCGATGTGAGACTGTAACGTTGAGAATTATTCCCTGCTCAGACCACATTTGATAAACTTTGAAGTGGAGAGAAAAAGATTTGGAGTATTGTTTGTATTGTGACTGCTTGGTGTGTCAGTTTGGTGCAGAGCCTCGGCTGTAACTCAGTCCTGAAGTAAGCGCACGCCAACTAAAGGTGCTTTACATAACCTGAATAGAAACTGTAGAAAACTGTGTTAATGCATCACTGTTTATGATGCATCCAAACAAGCTTCCTCGTTTTGTAATTAGCCACTCTGCTGACAGAAATGTTTCCTGGTTGTGCTCAGTGTGCTGGTGTGCTTTCATAGCGCTCTTCTAGCTTACGGGCTTTGTGCTCTGGAAGTGAGCATTTCAGAAAGAAGTTAGCCCAGGATTGCTTGCTGTCTTCAATGTCTTCATCTTTAGCCACCGATGTGAATGATGCTTATTTCTGGCAGGGATGATTGCTGATGTTCTGGTTTGTGGAAGAATTCTTATTGAGCAGTGGTGAGTGACTGAATAAATAAGTTCATATAATAACTAAAGGGATGATGTCCGAAACACTCTTTCCCATTTGCTGTTATAACTTAACAAGGCTCCCTGCAAAAGCATGAAGTGTTTTGCTCTAGGGGAAATGGCTCCTTTCAGAAAATACTTTGCTGTGTCTTGCTGTTAGGAATCCACAGACACTGTTGGCACTGCTGTGGCTTTGAAGAGGTTTCAGGGCACTGAACTTCTCTGTGAGAAAAACCTTACACAACAAGGAGAGGAACATTGTGTGCTTCATAGGAAGGTCTGCAAACCTGAAAGAGCATCAGGAGGAGCCCAGCACTGGATGTCTAATATTGAGAAATGCCATCTGTGCCATGCAGCTACCCCATCCTTTGTGGAAATAAGGCAAAGTGAAACACTATGCACAACCCTGACCCCAGAAAGGCAGTGTTGGTGGGTAGGCTCCTGGAAGCTAGGCTCTGCTTTTAGCCCTTGGTATTGCAGAGGATTTAGGATTTGGTTGGAGTGAAGACAGGGACATGTGCTGAATTTGTAGGTGAGAGGTTGGTGGGAGCTGCTCTTGGAGTTTTGCACTTGGCAGCGCTAGAAATGTGAATGGCTGCTGCTCTTTTCCTTCTTTTTAAACATCTTCAGAAGAAGAACTGTTTACAATTTGTCCCTGTACTGCCTCAACAGATGCATCTTAAACTACCTGTGGCAGCTCTCCAGCCAATCAGCCTACCCAGCGTTCTGAAGAGCCTCCAGTTGGCATCAGAAGGCTGTGTTAAAGGGTGTGTTTGTTTGTAAATAGTGGCTTTGTGTGCACAGATTGCCTCCCCCAGCCTTTTGGATGTGCTGTTCTCAACTGAAATACCAGCTGGAATAGCTGCTATCTCAGCAGCAGTTACAGATATGACTTAACCTCAGAGTAAATTTATGAATTGGCCCTAAAGCATAAATTTAAACATATAAGATCCTGAAAAATGAGTTGAGACATTTCTGCCCATTTTGGTTTTGAGTGTGCTTGGCAAACATGAGCAGTGGGAAGGTCAGCAATCGAGCTCGGGAATTTCTGGTCCCCTCTCTGGTTCCTTGGTTAGATTTCTCATCAGAAAAATGCTTGTGATGTGGATTCTGTTCTTTCTTTATCAGCTTTTCCTGTTCCCGCATATACAGACAGGAAGCTTCGTTCTTATCAGGGTATGTAAAGCTGTGTGGTTGTGCTTGTCATGCACACAGCTCAAAGCAGATGTGGTCCATGCTGTATGGGCACGGGCACCTGGCAGCGGATGGGATCGAGCCCATCAGACGTGGACACAACAGGCAGAGAAGCGTGTGTCCACGTTTCACTAATATTAATTCTGCATCATCTGGAAGTGGTCAGAACCCACTGTTACTGTGCTATAAAAAAGAGGTAATGCTGACCCTGGTTCTTTTGTTCCTCATTTTCTCATTAGACATGTAAGGCTGAACCTTAAATTTCTCATCTCGTTTACAAGTGACAATGCTGTCATTTTATCTTAAATACCATGTCTCCAATTGCCTGCCTGACTTGAATCTTTAATTGATCTTAAATTACCTCTCAGTGTTTAATCCCCAGAATGCCTCTAAATTAAATGAAGATTGTTGTATGTGCCCATTTTTTATTACCTAGTGTTTAACAGCAGAAATAGTTTGTGTTTTCTTGATTATATGGAGGGAAGGGTGAGATAATGTGTGAATTTGCTCATGGAAGAAGATGGACTTGAGGAGTAATTACTGGTAGACTGTCTGGGAAAGCAGCACATCATATGGGGGAAGCAGAAGCAAAACATGAGGAGTAAGGTTCAGAATTACGTATCCATGGAAAACTAAATCACAGATTCTGAAAGTACATCTGGCAAAGTTGTGGGCTGTTCTGGAAGGTTGCAGTTTGGTGTGATTTCTTGGTTCAGCTTGGAAAACGATGTGTGTACACAGGGCTGTGTGTGTGCGCGTATCCACGTGTCACTGAAAGCTGAGTGTGGCTCTTTGTGTATAAAAATACAGAAGGAGAATATGAGCACAACTTCACTGGCTTCCGTAGTGCTTTGTGAGGGTGTGCAACCACAAAATCTCAGACTTGAGGGCTGTTTGTAAATGCAGACTCAGTCCCACGTTTGTGTGCAGCAAAGTGGTTAACTGATCATGGGGGCAGATGAGACAGAGAACAGAATGTATTAAATCCTTTTTCCTTTAATTCGGTATGTTGCAGATTGAATGAACATCTGTTAAGATGTTCATATCTTTCTGCTAATATTTTTAAATTTTTAAAATAAAAAGAATGGAAAAAGAACCAAGAATTAATTCAGAAGTTTTGTATTGTACGCGCTCCCTTGAAACAAAAGTGTTTTTGTAACCAGTTTATCATTTTGAAAGCAAAAACGGAGATGCTAAGGGCCTCATTTCAAGTGGTACTGAGTGCGTGCTGACTGTTGTGTGTGCTTGTGGTGTGTCAATGCTGTAGTGCTGGCTGGGTAAGACTGGCACTTGCCATACAAAATCCAGGTGTAGAAATACCCTCTCCTGACTTTTAAATGCATCAGCGGCGTCGTAGGGCTTATTGCAGAGATGAGGTGTTGCTCTGTGTTACTCAGAACTGCTGAGGCTCTGTGTAGGTGTGGAGGGTTGCAATGCGTCGTGTTTGTCTTGATGACGTAGCGTAACGTTTGCATGATGCTGTGTGGCGATGCCACCTTAAGCCTTAAAACAAAGATAAATTTGACAGATTTTCTCAAGAGTATGCAAAAAAATACTGTTTAATGAGAGTAGAGTGTTCCTGTAAGGCTGAACTAGTTTTAAAAAAAAAAAAGTTGTCTGAGATGGAAAGGGGAAGCTGTAGATCTCTATACTGTGACCGACCTCTGTAGGCAGTGGCTGTCACTGTGCCCCGCAGAAGCTGATGCGTTGCTCTGGCAGCCTGCCCCAATTCTCAGTTCCTAGCTTTATTTGTGTTGGATGTGTTGTGCTCCCTCCCCCTGTTAGGAGATCTCTGCCTGGAGGAGGAGGATGACTTAACACTTACTTGGTGTTGGAAAAACTCTTCTCAAGGTGTGTGCTTGCTTCACATAGCGCCGTCGTTCGCCCTTCCTGCGCCCGATGTCTGATCCTTAAACCATTTGAACTGGGGGCAAACCAAGCAGTGGGGACCCAGCTTTCTTTGTCCGTTTGGATCTACCTCATGTAAACAGTTGGGTGCTATTTACTCAAATTGTCTCAGATGAGATTGGCAAAAAGCGACCAAACCGCGTTTGACAGCCGCCCTCGGCACAGGCTGTCCTCCGCAACCCAAACCCTTTGGGTTTCTTCTTCGCAGACGACAGTGTTGTATTTGAGTTGTGTCCTTCGTGCCTTTGTGTTTGTTTTTTTTTTTCCCAGTGCATAACAATCAAAGGTCGTGTCCTTGATTAAGAACAGCCAATGAATTTTAACCACAAAGTTTAAAAAGCAGCAAAGTAGCTTTAGCAAATGTTATTTTTCAGTGTCAGATCCACGTGTACAGTATCACGGCAGAACTAGGCAAAGAGAAAAAGCCAATAAAGAACTCCTTGAGATACATATAATCCCAACCCTAGAGATGTACCTCTGTGTATCCATTCAAATGCATATATATACACACGTGGCACAGCTGCGTGCGTCTGTATATAAAATGGAAGGATGCGTGGGTAAGGGAATAAAATGTCATCGACTTTTCCACAGTTTTCTATGGAACAGTTTACAACTCTGTATAGGTTTTTCTACTACGTGAACCTTTTTTACATTAAAAAAAAAATAATAATTCCTTTTTGGAAAATTTAAGTTGTGATATATACTATTTTTTTTTTTTTTTTTTTTGAAGTTGGGGAAAAAAAATCAATCAACTTTTTACCAATACCTAATATGGGGGTGGGGGGACGAATCTCTTGTGTACTCTTTAGTTTAATTAGTAAAGAAAAATGATGTATGGGATTGTAAAAGTGCTGACATTCCGTGGTGGCAGGACTTCCAAGTGTTTCCTAAGGCTTTCTGCTGCAGAGAGACTCGAACAAAGGAAAATGCCTCTGTTAAATGTTTTTATAAAACTGCTCCATCAGGTCTATACTTAAGCTATATTTTCTAAAGCCTAATCATCCTTTAATATGCTGCATATAAATTATCAGCATGGTTGCACTTTCTCAATAATAATGTATGCCCTACAATTGGCTCATGATAAGGACTTTAGTTTTTTAACAGAACAGATAGTACTTTGGGCAGAAGGTAATATTTATATAGGTACCTCAAGAAAAAAAAATAAAGAGCCTGAATATGCTGCATTTTGTTCCTTTAACATTTTTCATGTAGCATTTGTTTGCTTTTGTTTTTGTAGTAGACGACCAGCTACCTGTTTGCTTTGGGGGACCCCAGTAGTGTTTTCTGTTCCGCTCGTAGGATGTCGTGTCCTGCCTTGGTTGCATGGACGGGGGTTGCCCTGCATTGCGAATGCAGCGGGGAGGGGGGACCACGAGGACGTTGCTTTACGTAGGCTTCAGGAAAAGGATGCTGTATTCCTACAACAGGCAGTAGATGTTCTGAATGGTGAATCTGTTGTACCGCTTTCTTGACTCTTTCGAGTGCGGAGAGGAGGCAGCTGATTAACGAGGGAAGCCCAACAGCCTGAGCTTGCCCTGTTGGTCCACGTTCTGAGGCGGCTCGGCCGTGCTTCCCAACCTCTGGCTTTGTGGAGAGCTGCTGCCTGCGGTGTGCGGCGCTGCCTGCGGTGTGCGGCGCTGCCTGCGGTGTGCGGCGCTGCCTGCGGTGTGCGGCGCTGCCTGCGGTGTGCGGCGCTGCCTGCGGTGTGCGGCGCTGCCTGCGGTGTGCGGCGCTGCCTGCGGTGTGCGGCGCTGCCTGCGGTGTGCGGCGCTGCCTGCGGTGTGCGGCGCTGCCTGCGGTGTGCGGCGCTGCCTGCGGTGTGCCCCGCTCCCTGCGGTGTGCCCCGCTCCCTGCGGTGTGCCCCGCTCCCTGCGGTGTGCCCCGCTCCCTGCGGTGTGCCGTGTTCCTTGCGGTGTGCCCCGCTCCCTGCGGCCTCTTGCTGGTGTGGGTGCATCTTCTGCTGCTTTGTTTCCGAGTCAGTGAAAACCTAAAAACATGCAGAGGTGGGGAATTTTTGTTGAGAGCTTTTGAAGGAAGCTTCAGAGGCTGTGAAGTTGAACATTTATTGTCACGTTCTTAAGCTTAGGTGGGTCCTCTTCCAAGTTTGTTTTACAGCTTGCAAGGTAAAATAGTTTGCACTACTTTTGCAATAAACTCATGAAAAACCTAACAGTTTCTGTTTTGGTTTCTTACTGTATATATACAACTAATACTAAAGACTTAGCATAGTGTTTCTCACCTCAAAACATTAAGACTCGTAACAAGCTCAGAATGCTGTAATTCCTGACAAAATAATGATGTGAATGATATTTTATAAAGTTATTTTGTATGGTGTCAATTTTGTTTTGCCTCATAGTATGTCAATAAAATAAAATTTCTCATCTTTACAACATAGTTTGATGTATTTTTATTGAACTTAATCCAAAGCCATCAGTGGCTTCCATCTGTAGCTCAGAAGCAGTTCCAAGTCCCAGTGACAGATTCAAGGCTGAGCAGAGATCCTCATAGTACACCGCACTGAGCCTTTTCAAATTGTAACCCATATTTTGTGAGATGAGACAGGATGTGTTCTAGAAGAGCCACAGTGCCTGGTCCCAGTGATCTCTTCTGCATTGAACCCTTTGGATGTGTTTCAGATGTTTCTGTGGGCGCTCCTCTGCTTCTGTTGCTTTCCAGAAGAGTTCATTATGGACTGCTGTTAGCGTAATGCCTCCTAAGTTGTCCTGGAATAACATATGGAAGGCTGTTGCTTTGGATAGCACTTGCCTGAAGGTGCTGCTGCTTTTCGTTCTGTTCTGACTTCATACCTACAGCACCCAGGTCTTAAACGAAGTAAGCTCTCTGTTACAGTGAAGTATCAAGTCAGGAGGATAGCAGAGTTCTCTTGAGTTCCAACACAGCCCAGCCCTGCAGACCAGACTCGTTTTATTCAATAGTAGGAAATACTCACAGCTGTCCCTCCCATTTCAGGCAGAACTCTGTGTTCCCCTTAGATTTGAAACGCTACTTTGAAGCAGATGCAAGCTTGCTCTGTGTCAAGCAAGGCTCATAGGGAAAGGCTTGAGCAGATGTGAGGCTGCAGTTGGTTGTGGCAAACTGTGGCAGCTATGAAGTCCCCATAGAGGTCTCTGGTGGAATTAATACAGAAGGGTGTTCAAGTTCTTGTGGCCTTGCTAATTGCCCAGAGCTTGTTCATCAGCCCACAGGAAACTTCTAAGAGGGATGAAATACAGTGATTTATACTTGGTAACCACAGTCCTTATGGCATTTTTGCAAGCTGAGAAAGATGGGAGCTTCATTGCCTTTGAGCAGCCTGGGCGTGCTGGGGAGAATCTTCCATGCTTGTGTTGCAGGAAGGAAACCAAAAATACGGACATAATAGCGCTCATTCTGGAAAGCTTCCATCCCCCAGCATGTGTTCTGCTGTCCAAAATCTCTGAACGCTTCAAAGAGGCCAAGATACCCTGAGAAGTACTGTCAGCTTCCTGCCTTGCAGCTGCCTTCCCTGCAGGGCAGAAACATTCAACAACTGCAAACTTTCAAAATCAATTCTTGGAAAAATGAGAAGAAAAGCAAAGCATCTCCTAATGAAAGCCCACTTAGGATGGCTCATCTTGTTTGAGCTTCAGCCATTTTATAATGACCTTTCTCATACGAGACAGGGACAGATATGGCTCAGGAGGCCTT